CCAAAACTGCATAAAGTTGAGTTAATAAAGCATTTATTAACATACAAAATAACAATTAGTATATGACTGAATAATAGATGCATAAATGTTGATTTGAATAGTTTATTAATCGTTTACTAATGCATTCGGAATGATCTTAAAATAGCACCAACTATTCTTAAATAACTAGTTTTTTAAATAATGTAATACTGTATTAAGTTATGAAACATTAACAAAGTATGAAAATACAATCATTAAGCACATTATAAATGTGCTTATAAGTCAAGGATAGAGCATTTGCAGCTGTATTTATAAAATGCTTACTAATGTCTATTAATGTAGAGTAACTGCTTAATAGATAATTAATTAACTATGTGCTAATGCTTAATAAATGATTCATAGTTCGTAGTTATTATAAAGTGTTACCAAAACGTTTTTTACATTGCATTTCTTAACCCCTAATGTCACTAGTTAACACACACAATGTACAAACACATCCTATGAATTCTAAAATATCAACCTCTACCAAATGGTTGCTATGTTGGTTTAAGGTAAAAGTACTGCAATTAAGTCAGTGCCGATGGTTTATTGGATAGTGCATCAACACATGCACTCAGACTCAACTTTACTATGCCGTTTAGGGAAACTAAAACTGTAGCAAGGTGCTGTAAATCAGGCGAAGTTCAATGTACACATTAACCAAATAATACCACACAACATACAACACGTCATTTTTTAGGTGCATCTCCCTCCCCACTGGACTCATTTAATGACCTAATGGCCACCATTATAAAAGAATTTCTAATTCAATTTGCGGGGGGCACTTTTGATTATTTTGGAAGGGCACTTTCTATGCAAGACTAAAAAGGGCATGTGCACTCCACAGGTTGAGCCCTATGTGTGCACATGCTTGATTCCTGCATCAAGATCCTATGCCGATCCTTCCACTTTCTTTGCTCCCCAAACTTTCCAGTCAATACTCTCTACTGTCAAATCCAATAAAGGGGAAGTGTCCTTGAGCTGGGATTCGAACTCAGGGCGCCCTGAAGTGGCACCAACTATTGGCATACTTTTATAACCACTTTCCATTTTGTGAAGCTCAACATCCATCTGATGCCAATCTCAGCATTGTCCTTTGATTTCACCCATTGCATTAAGTTTCTAAAGCATCCAAATCCTGCTTCTCAAAGACCACATAATATTTAATGCTTACCATAATATTATAATTGTTATAATTGTGGCATTATGAAGAATGTCACTCACTTTGCCAAAAAATAAAGTCCAAATGCATCTGCTGCATGATATTGTAAAGCTTGATAGAATGCAATATGAAAAAACTTATAGATCATTTTGAGGGATGTAAACAAAAACAACAGTCCCAACATATTCCCTCTTTAACATTTTTAATTTCTATAGCTTCCGAGAATCCAAAAAAGAGTCACTTATTGATAAACAATGTTATGATAGCTGTTTTAACATTAAGTTATGATTGAATGGCTTCTTGCTATACTGTAGTTATGAAACAGTTTGATAACAAGCAGGAAATGTTTATGGGCCCATGACATGACCACATTGAAATGGTTATAATTCAAATTATGAACATACATTTTTGATGTGACATTCTAATATAAATCAATAAAAAAAGAGTTTCAAACCAAGGTGGATGTGTTTTGCTCATATGATTTCCTAAAGATACCAATAATTGTGGCACTTAAAGATGTTGATAATTTTGAGCAAAAGATCCAAAGGTTAAACAATACACACTTTCTTTTACCCCCAACAGTCCTCTTTTCACATATTTACCAATGGTGCCAATGTTAGTGGGCTCTGTATTGATCTCATTTGTAATAACCAAAACAACTGCAACAACCACACTGAATTAAAAAAGACAGCTCCTCTTTGGCACAGAGCAGAATGAGCCTGGACCACTCTTACACAGCAATTCTCTCTTGCCTTTTAGAGACTAGAGTGGGTGCATGGGAGAAAAAAAGGACTCCATTTATTGTGGCAGGATGCATGGTATCCATGGAGACATAAAGCCCTTTAGTGACTGGATATCTTAATCAAAAGCTGAGCTGCTCGAATGACACCCAGAGGAGAGGATCAGTGTCTGCTGAGAGCCTTGTCACATAATGACACAAAACGGTTAAATATAGAACACAGAGACTGTTGATTTTTGTGAACGTTTGAAGATGGTTTTTGATATTTTTTACAGATTTTCTCAAAAGAAGATCAAGTTCAATCTATACTAACTTGTCTAGTCCTATATATATATATATATATATATATATATATATATATATATATATATATATATATATTCCCATTATACAGTTGAAATCAGAATTATTAGCCCCACTGTTTATGTTTTTCTCAATTTCTGTTTAATAAAGAGAAGATTTTTTAACACATTTGTAAACATAATAGTTTTAATAACTCATTTCTAATAACTGATTTATTTTATCTTTGCCATTACGACAGTAACAATATCTGACTAGATATTTTTCAAGACACTTTTATGCAGCTTAAAGTGACATTTAAAGGCCTAACTAGGTTAATTAGTTTAACTAGGCAGGTTAGGGTAATTAGGCAATTTATTGTATAATGATATTTTGTTTTGTAGACTATCAAAAAATATAGCTTAAAGGGGCTAATATTTTGACATTAAAATGTTTTTTTTATTAAATCTGCTTTTATTCAAACCAAAATAAAACAAATAATATTTTCTCCAGAAAACAAAATATTATCTGACATATTGTGATAATTTCCTTACTCTGTTAAACATCATTTGGGAAATATTAAAAAAAGAATAAAACAAAATCATAGGGGGGGCTAATAATTCTGACTTCAACTGTATAGATTCATACATAGTTGCATTTATTATATTAATCTAGTATGTAGTAATTATAGTATCTAGAAATAAAACGACTGTACAGCAACGAGAAGTGACAAGAATAAACCAACTAAAGAACTATATTTATGAAAAAACTGAAAAAGAAGAAAATAAATGCCAATTTAAAATACTAGAAAATTACATAATAGCATGACCTGCAATAACAGCACATGAAAATGGGGGGTTTGTTGTTAGATCAACCTTTATACTAAAGCAAAGAGACTTAAAATACAGTTGTCATAAGCTGCTCAAATGACAACATTCCAGTTGTGCACATCAGAGTTCACATTTTATAGAATTACAGTAAAATGCAGTCTTTGAGATGTGATCATTTGGAAAAACCTTATCTTGTTCTTTGGTGCCATTAACAAGTTTTGTTATGGTTATGTCTGATGTCCACACTATTCTGGCGTCTTTGACCTTGATCCGCATCATGGATATGCAGCCGACAAATGTGCAGCAACTGCATGATGCTATCATGTCAATATGGACACAAATTTCAGAGGAATTTTCCAGTACCTTGTTGAATCTATGCCACGAAGGATTAAGGTAGTTCTGAACTAATATGTATCATTTACTGATTCTTCAAGCCCCTCTCATGTGTGCATTATGCAACCAGTAGACAGTGAAGTTCAATCTTCAACATGCCCAGTGAGTTTAAATCAAGTGTGCCGCAAGCCTGCGTTTGAGTGAAGGTCTCGGCCGTTAGATCGCCCCCTGGGGGCTGGCTGCAGTACAAGTCATAAAGCCCGCCTCCTCCGTGTTGATGAAGGAGACTTGAGCCCAAATAAAAAAAATTATTACACTTGCAATAAAATGTCCCGAAAGATGGTTCTGGTCGATTAAGGTACTGGTTATTGTGCTGAAATAGGTGCAGATCTTCATTTTTGTAAACAGTTTGTTTTTAGCAGAAATTTAATGCTGGGCGTGTCATCGTGATTGACAGCTGTGATTGACAGTTTCTCAAAGCAGCGCGTCTGAGCTTCAGCAGGAGACTGAAGTGTTATTATTCGATTTCTGTGTTATTTTACTATGACAACATGAGTTCAGCAGTAAACTACAGTTTCTGACATACATGATCCTGGTGGAACACCGTTTATTCGCTAAGGTCAGGGCTTTTTTCGGGCTTTATTAGTTTGCTGATACACGCCTAACCACCCAGATAGCAAAATACACTCGGACCAGTTCGGCTAGATTCTCGCCTGCCGGAGACTTACCCCTCAGAGCTCAGACTGACTACCTCTGCTGGACCTACTCCGGATGCCTGGACTCACTGCCCGATTCCAGCGCGAGTCAATCAAGCCAGATGCGGCGGCCGAGCAAACCGGCACTGCCGCATGCGAGCCGGAATCAGCCCGCGACGCCGCAAGTAACTTATGTGCGCTGCGGCCCGGAGCTGGCGCGATTAAATATATAAAACCTTCATATTTGTTAACGTTATTATTACATCCATTTGTGTTGATATGACAGCAAACGCATGCTGAGAAGTTCGGGGGGCGTGGTTGATTTTATATAAAGCGTTTGGTTGGAAGCTCGACTCCGCTCATTTTCGCGGCTCCTCCTCTGGCTCCATCAGACAGTCCTTCTGCGCATGTCAAGGCTCCAATTTCAGCAGTCTTTTGCGACAGTTTGTGCCCGTCAAGCAGGCGTTTTGCCCTCAAGGCGTTCAATGGGAAAAGGGGCTGTCGCGTCGTCCATATTCTTTACAGTCATTGGTTTAAATGGTCACGTATGATGCATTTTAGGCTGTATACGGCCTTTAAAATTCTGAATGAGGTGCATTTTAATTCTAAAACACCATTTTAAAAGTGAAAACACATTAGTGTAAACACAGCCTTATTCCCTGATAAGAGAGTTAGCAAATTGCAGACCCCCTGGTGATTTCAAGTGTTTGATATAGCAGTTAAAAAGCATTAAGGTGAATATTTTTTAGTTCTGCAAAATTAATACTACAACAACACAGAGAAAGACAAGCCATCTTAATAAACAAAAACCTGATGTAAATTCCCGATGTTCACCTAAAACCATTCAGCAATCCCAGCAGAATAAAACTACACGAGTAAAAACATCAAAAAGAGTATTTAGTGCGAATAACAAGGTAACAAGGCAATAAATTAGATCAATGTACCTCAGACATCCCGATGTGTTCTTGAAGACAGTGGTCCACTCCGCATCTCGTGGCTTTGAGTCCTCATTGGGCTCGTGCTCCCACCCCGAATGAGGGATGATGACCTCATTAGTCATCGTCTGTAGGCCGTGGTTAATTATCACCATTTTCAGCGGCTCATACGAAGACAAGTTCCAAAGTGTTCCTAACATGTGGAATGAGAAGAAAGGAGATAATAGGGTCTGTTACTTCTCTTAACAATGCCGTTAGCACTGCTGTTAGATCTGTTGACATACAGCACGCATTACAAAAGCATTGATTCTGAGTTTTCAGACAGGAGCCTCCATTACAGACCACGTCTAAGAAGAATTGAGAGGGAAAAATAGCGAAAGAAATGGTTGAGAGTAAACAGAATGTGAAAGGGCCAGGCTGTTATTTTCTACACAATAAAACAGGGGAGCTTATTCTATAAGCCAGCAGACGTATACCGTATATACGCCTACACACTTAAGACTGCCCTTTGTTTTATTAACTTGGCAAACCCCATTCACCTACTGCAACTCTGGGAAATGTAGAGTGGATAAATAAACTGCCCTCTCTTGGGTTAGTAAAAATGAAGTCTCCTGACCGCAGGGCATTCTTGCTAATACCAGAAATAGAATGTGTTTACATAGTTGACTACAAATTCAAACAATTGGACTTACTAATACACATTTTTCTCCTCCGTCATACACATTACCACTCCACATTATCCTTACTACACAATTATTTAAAGTTAAGACAAACTACAACAGGCGACAAGAGGTCTATGAGCATATTTAGCTCTGGGTAGCTCCACAAATAAATGTATTTAGCCTGGGATAATAACCTGATTTGTTAGCAGGCTGTACCGCCATCACCTCATGGCCCTGAATGGCCATTAGACTGTGGTTGAAGGCCAGATAACAGACGCTCTACACTTGGCCTTGGTGCACACGTGTGAATGTCTATTTGTAAAGTGGAACATTAAGGATCATGGATCATTACCGGTGAGCTCATGCACTCGTGCGTGTGTTATTGTGTCAGATAGGCTTGGAGATGTAGAGGTCTATAAATAGCACATGCTGATTAACTTCACTCCATTGGTTGTAATAGTAGGCAGACTGGAGCGGACATAGGGCTTTATAATCGGTAATTACATTGTATAGGGGTGTAATGGTACACTAAAATCGTTTAGTATGTATTATGGTTTTGAATAATGTTTTTTAGGGCAGCCGGGAGAACCATATTAAAATGGCTTATTTTTTTATTATTATATTATTAAACAGCATTTTAATGAGCAAAATGTGGCCTCAGCTTGAAATACACCAAATTATGAATAACATATTTAGATTAGTTAAAGAAGTAAACAATATAAGAGCAGCATTGCCTGTACATTACTGTACAATTAAAGGTTACGGACAACAACAAACTAATTATTTAAAGATTTATCAACACTTAAAGGAATGGTTCCTGCAAAAATAAAAATTTACTCACTATTTGCTCATACTCAAGTGTTTTTTTGTCCTGCTAAAGACAGATGATATTTTGAAGAAAGCTAAAAACCTGTAACCATTGACTTCCATAGTATTTATTTTTCTTACTGTGGAAGTCAATGGTTACAGGATTTCAGCTTTCTTCAAAATATCTTCTTTTGAGTATAACAGACAAAAATAATTCAATAAGATTTGAGTAAATGATAATTACATAAAATTTTTTGGTGAACTATCACCTTAAACATTTACAAACATGTAAAACATGAACTTAAGGCAGTTCTTACATTAAGTTCTACAGTAGATCTATATTTACAATTACACATCTAATCCAGTTCATTGTTGGCATATAATAATGATGACTTTTATCTCGCATATAATAATGATGACTTGTTTGAGAGATTTATATAAAGATATATGTTGCATATTTAAGACGTTATGGTTAAGTAAAACATAATGAGTAAACAGGTTAATATTTGAAGTTTGTTATCCTAGTGAGTTTAAGTCTTGAGTAAACTTTCAGCTTTGTATTGTTAATAAACTGTTTTACTGACATCTTTGTGTGACTGAAACACTGATTAAGTGATTACCTGATATGTGAGATGATTATTTATGTTGATTTTGAGCTATAACTAATTGCAAAATTAAGGGAATGATCACGGTGTCATCTACAGCAATCTGTTATAAAACAGCGTCTGTTGTTTGATTTTCTTGATACAAATGTTCAGAATTAAAAAGAGGATTCTTTGTTTCTTAATGTGATTTTTTGACTGAACATATGCAATTTAATTTTTCTTTTGAAATATTTATAGAGTAATTGTTGTTAGAAATGCATTTGTTGCACACACACAACCAACTAAATACTTGGGGGCTTGTATATATTAGGGCTGAGTGATTTGGCCTAAAATCAGAATCACAATTAATTAAACTTTATTACTCGATTACAATTAATAAACAATTATTTTGTGTAATTAATTTTTTGCCCTCACAGTTCACTAACAGGTGAACTGTACAGTAAATATGCTCACATATTAGGAGTGAGAGATTTTTGACTGGAGGGTGCATTAATTGCGACCGCGTGAAGGTTGCGCCAGACCATACTCCTGCGTTTAATGCAGAAGTATAAATTAGCCTATAAATTAGAGCAGGGTCACGCGACTCCACATGCAGTAGTAAAATTAATAGAAAAAAATGACCCGAAAAATTTGATAGATTTAGGTTCTGAATACTTTTCGATTAATTGTCCAGCCCTGTATATGTAATTTTTTAAAAAGTTTTAATGTTACTAATATTGATTTACAATGATCAGTTAACACTAAAGACTTAAGTGATGGCTAATTAAAAATTACAGACAAATTTTTTTTTAAATGAAATTCCTTTTTTTTTTTTTTTTTTTTTTATATTATTTTACAACTGACAAGTAAATTAGATCCCTAAGAAGTTTGGCAGAATGTGCCACTATTTCCAGGTCCAAATGATGCATATGATCACAAACACAAACTACAAAAAGTTCGAATATAAAATTAAGATGATATCATACTTTACAGTAAAATCATAATCCTAACCTTTATCTTTATAGCATTGCAAATATCAGTTAATTAGCCAATGTTTTGTTTTAATCATTAAAATAATGGTGTGCAGTACACAGTGAAAGTGAAAATAGAATTAAGTGGAGTTTAAAAGGCCTATAGGTTAAATGTGTGCTTTATATAAATATTGCTCATAAACATCAGTTGAAATGATATTCTCAAATGGAACAGAGTGTAAACTTTCACACTTTCACACCTGTAGATCGATTGCTTAGTTCCAAGAAAAGGATTCAAATTGTTACAATGCTTATTTTTGTTCTTGAATGGTTCGTTTTCACACATGAAAGTTTCTACCAAAATATTTAAAACAAGTCACATGCAAGTAAACTCTCCTCACATTGGTCAGTTCCAGGGTTAATTTTTTAGAGCTGTCAGCTGTCACACATCCTAATGTTAATATCAGAAAATATCAGATCTTCATTTTAGTCAACGTTTCTAATAGATAAACAGCTCTAGTTGAGCATGCTTTCACTTTTGTATTCGACATGAAACACACATTTAGGTAGGAATGAGTTATTATTTTCTCTCCATATAGCCGTATAGATGCCTATTACATATCCATGATACACTGTGATGTAGCCTGGTTCGTTAGTTCGTTAAATCGTATTGCATTCTCACTACAATCGATCTGCTGCAGTTTCAATCGAGCCAAGTCCATTGTTTCCGCAGATCATTGCACAATTGCTGGATTCACATGCCAAACAAACAGGTTCCGAAACAAACATCTAGGTGTGAAAGCACTCTTAGACCCAGAAACTGTATTGATAAGTCACAAGTTAACAAGCAGACACTTTAACCATTAACTTTGACAATGTTTTTATGATGTTTAAAAATAAGATTATCAATACCTATTTGCCTAATTAAAACGTGTAAATACAGAGCATTTCAAATATATTATTACTTTCATTAACAAAATTTCATATTCAAACTAACATAATATATTTGTATTATCTGTACATGTACTGTACACACACACACCACAAAGAGGTAAAAACCATGAAATGCTATTTTAGAAGGACTCTAGTGTCGTATCCAGTTGATTCTCCAAGCATCTTCTGCCGGTTCCTGGATATCCCACAAATCTAATACAGAAAGAGCCAATGAAAGCCACATGAGGGAAGCTGAACCTTGCGAGAGGTGCAGCCTGATTGAGTTTACTCCTTCCGGCTTGTCATTGGAGCCTCCCAGCTAATTCAATTTCCTGGGAGCAGCAGACATGCTGTTCTAACAGGCCATTCACTTAGGGCTATTACAGTCCCATCCTGCCCCCTACCATTCATCATACGCTGATTGGACAAGCGAGTCGGAGAGAAAGAAACAGGATGGAAGGGTAAACGAGGTAATCATCTCAGAAATGCCACAACACTGGGCTTCTGGAATTTCTGAACAAATGTCATTCTGTAAGCAACGATTGCTGGCCTTTTTCTAATGTCCTCCAATTTCCTTTTTCACAAACCCTCTGGTGATTTGAGGTGAGGTGCATGAGTAATCCAGACAAAAAGAAACAATAAGATATCATTAAATCTGTGAGATCCAACACAATACCAAATTTGCAAACAATTTTAGTTTATTATTTACTATTGGTTTCTCTGTGTTTATTTAATGTAATCATTAATATGTATCATTAATAGTTTTGTGTATTTTCTTTTTCTTTTCATTTTTTTTTCATCACACAACCTGTTCATGTTATAAGACAGGGGTGTCTAAAGTCGGTCCTGGAGGGCCAGTGTCCTGCTGCTTTTAGCTCCAACTTGCTTCAACACACCTGCCTGGAGATCTTCTAGTATTGACCTGATTCTAAAATGCGGAAGTGCGCCTGTTTTCGCAATTGTCTTAGAACTTCCGTTTCAGTCGCCTATGGGAGAAATGACAAGGAATAATAAACGGCAAAAAATGGTCAAACTACTTGCTCTACAAACAAATGTTTGCATGACTATACAGACCAAGTAGAATAATATAACAAGGAAATATCAATTTGCAACATCAAACAGCGAAACGAGCAGTTTTTAATGTCTAAAAATTAATGGAAGTGAATGAGACCAGAAGTCTCATGCCAAAAAGATTCAAATGGCAGCGCCCGATCATCTGCAGAGAATAAGGTCAAT